GCCAGGCTGTTGCAATCCAAACAACAGCGGAGCTAAACACCCCCAGGCAAAGCTACTACCACAAATGGCTACCTTAGAATTATATGCACCAAGTTCTATCTGCTCAGTACCTCTTTTTGAGAAATTTGACGTCAAAAGTGTTGAGTTTCACGAATTTGAGCTGCCGTCTTCCAGCACTTACAGTACAGTACCGTCGGCGACTCTAATCGCCAGGCCGTAGTATGCGCTCACTACCGCTGGCGACTAAGTCGCCGACGCAACCAGGCACACCAAACACAATTCTGTCCCCGTGGTTTTATGCACCCCGCATAATTAAGCAAAATTTGATCATTGTTGAGCTTAATTTCTGATTATTTTCCGTTATCATTCTTTGTTAAAGTTAACAGAATCGCATAATTTCACATTTTTTAGCTCAGTTTGCATAATTTCAGAATTGTTCTTGCATAAAACCACGGGGACAGATAATGAAACAACGAATGAATCCACTACACCGAAGTAGATACCAAAGAAAGCCACTCTAAATGATACCCGAATTGTTGATGAACCTCTGTACATTTGTAAAGCGTGTTTCTTGGGATGTCAAGGTTTTTTTTATAAAAAAGAATTCGACCATAGCTTTAGCATTGTAAACATGGTGGTACTGTTAATTAATTAAACGTCCCTTCCGCACACACCGGTTCCCCCAAGGCTACCATCGAGAGGGTGGAGTGCACAGTGGGCTATGGACTACTGGGAGTAAACCACCCCCACCCCCCCGGAAATTTTTTCGCCACCTTGACTTTCTGAAAGGGTAGTAGGACCAACTGATTTTTTTGTCTTCAGGAATGGAAGCTACAGAGAAAGTAGAAGCAGGTCTTTTGTCAATTGAAAAATATGGAAAACAGCTATATGAACATTTTGTCAAAACAACCCTCATTGAACAAGCTGTGAGAGTTTCCATGTTCCTCTCAAAAGAAACAGGAAACTAACTTTTGCTTTGAAACAAAAGAAAGCTAAACTGAAGACAACAACAAAAAGGAGGTGAAATAGTTAACAGAACAGAGAAACATGTTTTGTCAGCTTCTCATGTTTTCTACAGAACATGATCTGGACCTTCAAAAACTGATGGATTACCCTCTAGGGCCCTCACCCCCCCCCCGGATGGATTTCCTCTTAAAACAAACAAAGCAGTTCTTATGCATAAACTGGAAGATAAGTCAGCTCTTCAAAGTCCATCTCAAGACCATGGACACATCCATATTATAGATGGCAATGCTTTCTATAAGATTCTGCAGCCCTCTGAAGTACCAGACACTTTTATACTTTTGGCGAGTTAGCCAGAACAATATTTTATGCTCCACCCAAAGTTAACAAAGTCTTCTTTGTGACAGACAACTACAAAGAAGATTCAATTTGATCTTTGGAACGAATTCGTAGTGGAAAATCTCTGACATTCACAGTCTGGCACTTTTCTACAAAGGTTCCCAAAGATTTCAGAGTGGCCCTTGTGAATAATGAAAACCAAAAGCAGCTGACACAGTTCTTACTTTGTGAATGGCAACTAGATCTAGATCTAGATTGTTCTGCAATAAGGCATCCCTTAGTGGTCCTAAGATATATCAAAGTAGACTTCGTCCGACACCCGGGCAACATTCAAAATTCCTACCTAACTGAAAATGTTTAAAAGTGTCCCGCCTGCTCTTGTGATATTATGCAGTTGCGAGCGCCGTAAAACACGTCCAAAAACAAACAAACAACCAAACAAAAACAAAAAAAAAACAAAAAAAACCCACCCACTTTCCAGAAAAAAACGAAAGAGAAACCACCTTTGCTTAATTTCTGCTTGGTTTGTAATCATTGTATGCTTCCCTTCCCGCATTTCTCGCCACTCGCCACCCACAGACGGTATGACCTCTGTCCTTGTGACCTGTGAGGGCTAGGGTCAAGGTCGCTGCGCCGCTGAGCCGTCATTCCATTCATCGATACGGGGTCAGGTTTTTTTTTTGCCATCTCGGCCAGTTGTGATTATAGGTCCGTCAGGCTGCAAGCCAAAATGTCGAGAGGGAGAGAGAGAGAGAGAGA